AGAGCAGATCAATAGATACGGAAATATACAAAGAATATCATTTTTTGATTGATGAGGGTTATATAGAGTTTATTGAGATCAACCGGAAAACTCATTCTTCTCACAGATTCTGAAAACTCAATGGAATCACGTATGTAATAATAGTTCTTTTATGTTTAAGTTTTCTTTTAATTAGATCCGAGATTAAAGATCTAAAGTTTATGCTTCTGCGTTTATGTTTTGGTTATCAAAATAACCAACATTTTATATTTAGGTAATTCTAAAGACATGAATTCAATTCCAAATACCCATGTTTTGAAAACCAAACCGGATCGGCCGGAACAACCGGTCCCGGAACCGGTTCTTAGATGCCAAAAAGTTGTTCATTATGTGAACCTGTTTTCACCGATGCCAGTTAAACCGGGAATTTCAAAAAAAAAATTGTAATTTTTATATAATTAAAACTAATAATGATTTAATTATAACATCATCCGGTTTTTAAGACCGAACCAACTGATTTGACCAATTAAACCATCAACTTGATAAAACAGTCAATTCGATCTACTGTCGGGTTTCAAAACCTTGCCGAATTGATTGAATTATATATGCCAGTGAGGAAATTTGAGTAATATTAATATATTAAATTAAATAGGCCACATAAAGGGAGGTTATTTAAATTCTTGAATCCTTTACCTTTTAATTTACATTAAATGCCCTTAAACTCATATTGATTTTCAAATCAAACCTTAACACTTTTTAAAATTTTACTAGATATGTATTCGCGCAAAGCAGCGGTCATAAATAGCTCTCAGATGAATTTAGTATTTTAAAATTGTCATTTTGCTCAAAATTGAATTTCTTAATAATCTTTTTTAATTCAAGTCTTTAAATTTTTGAAAAGTATTAATGATTTGTGTATGCATAATTGATTTATACAAAAAAATTTGTATCTTATACCTCATACATTTCAATATATGACTAATATGTTTTATAATATATATATATATATATATATATATATATATATATATATATATATAATTGAGGACTTTAAGTGACTTATGTAACATCCCAAGACCAGGTATACTCTATAAACCCTTGTTCTTTTGGTAATTATCAAGTTTGGTCCTTATATGAGAAAAGGGTGGTAAATGAGTACGTGGGGCGTACGTGAGTGTACGCTTAGCGTACTCATAAGCGTGTTATTGACGTGGAAGCCACCTAGTACGTTGGGCGTACTAGAGGGTACGCTAGGCGTACTAGACCCAAAGTGAAAACCCTAATTTGGGGTGTGCCCCTATATAAAGGACATGATGGCCTTATTTATGGCCATCATTCCCAGACATCAAACCTCTCAAACCCTAATTTCTCATCCCTTGAGCTTGTGAGGCCATTTGTGAGTTATTGAGTGTTCTTGTGTTTCTTTGGTGTGAAGAAGAAGCTTTGAAAAGGAAGGAGTGGGAGTTCAGGCTTTGGATCTGAGCCTATCTGTGGTTGGAGCTTCAGTTAGAGGTATAAAGCTCAAAGCTTTCTCACTCTTTTGATTTGTGCATTATTTTAGTCCATTTTAGGGTTTTTGTCCCAAAGTTGGATGCTTTATGCGATATTGAGCTCCAGAGTTTATCATCAGCTCCTTTGAGTGTTTTGAGTGGTGTAGAGTCATAAAAATCGAGACTTGGACGTTTGAATCAAACCATGCATGAGTTATGAGCATATTTGAGAATAGAGAGTGAGAGTTTTGAAGTTTGTGGCTTTATCAGCCATGCAAAGGCATAAAGTCGCAGACTTTATGGAGTAAGAGTCTTTAGGACGTCCAAATCTGAAATTTTAGCTAAGGTCTTAACGAATTAAGACCAAACGAGTGAGAAGAACAAAACTGGGACGTACGCTGAGTGTAATCCTAGTACGCGCAGTGTAGGACTGTGAATCCCCGATGCATGTGTGGCAAAGGAGTAGGCCCAACGTAGTGAGCTTGTACGTGTCGCGTACGCACTGCCGTTGATTTTGAGTTGACTTTTCGGGTTTGGTCAATTTGTGGACTATTAAGGCCATGGAAGAGTAAAATGGTCTTTTATCCTTCAATGAGTTTGTAGAAGGATTACTCTAGCTTCTTTGAGAGCCGTTATTAATTAGAAATAATTATCGTTTGTGTTAGGTGGAGGCTAGACTGGTGATTTAAGTTCAAGGCTATCCAATTTCTTACGAGGTGAGGCTTCTCACTATACTTACCTGAGTGGTAATACCGAGCGGCCGGAGGGCCTTATCTGAGTTATTTGACTGGAGGGTCCTATGTGATTATATTGAGTTATGTGATATTGTGCTTTTCTGTCTTTGTGTTATTTGCTATGTTATTCTGTGTTTTTCTGAGATCGGACCGGAGGGTCCAAACCAAGTTGTGAGACTGGAGGGTCTTCACTGAGATATAGGACTGGAGGGTCCAACCCGAGCTGTGAGACAGGAGGGTCCTCACCGAGATACAGGACTTGAGGGTCCAACCCGAGCTGTGAGACCGGAGGGTCCTCACTGAGACACATGACCAGAGGGTCCACACCGAGTTATATCCATGAGAGGCTTATTATTTATGTATGTGGTATTTTGGGGAACTCACTAAGATTTATGCTTACCTTGTTGTGTGATATGTGTTTCAGGTACTTCTCAGGATCGTGGGAAGGCACCGGCTTGATGGTACACACTGGAGCGAGATTATTTTTATGATTCTGGGATAGTGATTTTTACTCGTGGATTTATTGACATTTGAGACACTTGTGGTTTTTGAGAAAATGTAAAATGAGTTTAATGTGTTTTAAAAATGAAAATTTTGGTTTGAAAATTTACGTTGTTACAACTTATAAATATAACACAGAGACCACATTGATATATTAATACAAAAAATTGTTTTATTTATAGAGATCTCAATAACTATAAATAATAAAACATAAACTTGATTTTATTAGTTATTGGATACTATAACTGTAAAATTATTACAATTATTGTGTGTTGTAAACAAAGAAATGTAGGAATTCTGTCGAGCAGCATAAATATTCCCATCCAGCAGACCTTGATGATCTGTAGTAACACCAAAAGTGGCAAAATAGTTGGCATTGGATATGTTATTTGTAAATCAACATTCACATAATGATCACATCCAATAAGAGCAATAACAACAACTATATGAGTTGAGATGTCTTGGGGATCAAGCCATAATGGAAAACATGTTGACGGACTATCTTTGCTTAAAAAATGAACTATTACACCATATTTGTTAACAATGAGAAAGCCAGTGACCGGCATAATAAACCAACGATATTTTGGCGTGAAACGTGATCTATTGAAATTCAGTGGGTGATTTATGGTGTTTAAATCGTAATAAAAAAATATGTGTGTACTCAACCGAGTGCGCTAACAACTCATTCTGTAAATTTAAACGAATTTGACGCCAATTATCTTCAATGTAACCAAGACACACATCTATTATACGAAATCCAGAATTTCCATCTCCCCTCGCGTTTTGTATGTGTGTGACATATGGATGAAATTCAATTGGAATTTCATTCATAAGTGGATCTGAATATTTGCTCTTGGTTGAAGTATGTGTTATGAATCAATTGTTCCTGATTAAAGGTTGGGTTGAACATTAAAGGTTCTCGGAACGAGTACGTTTTGTGCCTATCCGATTCATGGTTTAGATCATACAAATTAGACCCCATATAATCAGGTGTATAAGTAGAAATGCTACGTCTAAAAGGATATTGAGTTGGTGACGCTTGAGTTGGTTGATCTTGAGTTTGTGGATCTTGAGTTGGCGGGTCTCGGTTTAAATCAATATGAATTTTCCTAACGTTGTTAACGGCGTGATTAAGTTTAGTAACTTTCTTGCTACACTTAACTTAACATGACTTATTTTTTATGAGAGCCATTCTCTATCAGTCATGATAAGACGCAGCAACATACATCATTCCATTACCGATTTTAGTCGGTCTAAAGCCCAAACACAGTCACGATAACGCGCGGCAACATACATTCTTCCATTATCGATTTTAAGCAAACACACAAGCGAATAATTTTTTGGATGTGTTAGTTTGTTTAAAAATTATCTTATTCGTGTTTGTTCGTTGACATGTTAAACAAATACAAACAAACAAGTATAAACGATTATAAATGAACGAATATTCCAATCAAAATATGATTTTATTCAAAGCCCGTTAACAAAATGGTGACATTATCTTTTTAACAATTTAATTTGCAAAATAATATTCTTGTTATAATTAATAAAAAAAAAATGGCCATCTTAAGTATTAAAATAATATTCAAAACATCTTTTGTTAAAAAGATGAGGGTGTAAATTATTTATT